TATATATATATATATATACGAAAGATATAAATTCTGTAGCTAATTTTGCTTCTGTTTATTATTTTATGCTAACTCGCATAGATTCTTGACTGACAGTTTGTATGTCATTGAGTAAACACGAAGTTATGACTAAAAGCGTCTTACTTATCTCGGACGTGATAGTTGCCGTGTTTTCCCAAAATGTCTTCGATACCCGCCATCGTATGATCCATTATCTAAGAATTAAGAGACAGACGTTATTTATCTTTCAATTTGACGAGCAGCGCAGGCGTCACAAATCCGCCAGGATTTGCCACGTACGCGGGCAAACGCAAACGCAAGCAGAATGATGTATCAAAGTCCCGGTAAAAATTGCCGCTATATACACATTCTGTAATGCGGCTTGACAATGATGAACGTTATCCTATTTCACAGTTCGACCCTATTCTTCATATTGTACGGCTCTGTCGTTCCATTAAAAAGAAATACGTCGTTACTAGGATTCGAGGTAATAGGCTCCGTTATCGTCATATATCGGCGATTGAGCACGACATTATCGAATTTTTACACATCTATATCAGTTCTGCGATCGTTTTTGTTCCCCGCAATTTCCAGATGTTACAACGACAACAATAACGACCACCGTCGAAATAATTTGGTCGCGTAACGTACCCTCTCGTGGATTCTCTCATTCATCGTCGGCTTTCTCTTCTCCGCCCTTTTAACATTGAGGATTTTGACGAGAGGTTTGATGGTGATCCCCTAAAAATAAGAGCGCGTTTACATAAGCGTCATCGCGAGAGCGAACTCGTGCAACACAGACTTCCAAGGGGTGTTCTAAAGACGTCCAGAGAACGTCCCTATGTCCTCTAAACGTGCCTAAAAATGTTCCCAGGATGTTTCTCGGATAAAATGTACGTGCTGTACATCGGAACACACTCGTGTTCCCGACGCGAATTATCGGTCAACGTCGAGTAAAATAACGCGCGGCTGATAAAACGCTTGACGCAAAAGTGTATGCTCAAGTGTGTGCGACATAGAGATATTAGGTTTCCGATCGATCGCGCGACAAAGCACATGTGCAGAGCCGAGCTTTTTTTTGCGGCTGATATCTTTGTATCGTTGCTCATTAATCGTTGATTAAACGGACGATCATGGTTTTAACAGGCGATCACTTCTTTCTCCTCGCCGCGCCATTCCGATGAAGTAGTAGTCAGTTTCTCTCCCTCGAAACGCGTGCCACTTTGGCCGCATCTCAAAATACGCGCGAGTCATCGGTTCCATGAAAAATGTTGCTGACTGAGTCGGTCCAATTTACTCGAGCAAGGTCTACAATCTTGCACTCCGCGTAGAAACACACGCAAACACTCGTCGTTACGCAACGCTTACGTGCATTCGTGTTCGCGAATCAAATTCGTCACGATCATGCATCGTACGCAGTCATATGATCATGATCCTACCTGGATGAATACGGTAAAGTAGATGACGGCAATAGTGGTAGTGACGAACATAGGTTGCAGAGGCACGTGTCTTGGATCTATAAGAAGCACCAGGGCGAATGCTACGGCGCCTCGTAAACCGCCGTAGGACATGACGAATTTCTCCACCTTGTCCAATTTGTGCAGCCGGAACTGATTCGCCAGCGCTGTCAGCACTATCACGCCTGGAACATGAATCCGAGCGAGATATTACAGCTGTACTATCCTCTTTAGAAAACGTGTTCTCAGCGAGAAATGACCATCAATTAGATATCGAATTGTCGTCGAAATCATATCGATATTAATTCAATAAATCATTTTTCAGTAGATAGCAGTTATACAGTTCATGATAAAAAGAGTTTTCAAAACAATCTATATTTCTAATTGTCATATATGTATTTGTCTTTTCTCGATTTTTTTTCATTTGTTATTTAAAGTGTTACATAAAAACCTTCTCGGTTCTGTAAAAATCTGTTATAATCTTGTTACAATCCTGATCGATTTATTTAATTTAATAATCGAAAGACTCAATTGTCTATTATGAAGTGAAATTGAATGCATCGACATTACATGTCTAATGAAATGCGTGACGTTTCACACAGGCTTGCTCATATCTTTCCACACTTTCCACACGTGACAAATTGTCCGGTTAGAACAAGAAGCCATAAGTGAAACGCCGCGTCGCTTACGAGTGACGTAAGATACTCGTGTAAGTAAGAGTCAATTGTCTTTAAGTCCCATTATGATTTCATCATTTAACCGTATCATTTTACACGCCATTCTATTCGCCGGCAAAGCGATGCCCTTAACGTCCATCCAACTGGACCGGTCAAGGCCCGCGCGATCGTGTAAGAATTCCTCGACATGAATTCGCTATTATCACGCTACTTTTTCTCTCATTTCCTAGTTTTTTCTCCTCTTTGAAATATCCTTCTAAAGTTTTCCACGCCAACAGTTTTGCACGGACTATAAATTTTCTCTTTATTAGCTAATTCAGAAACAAGTTAAAATTCTATAAATTGTATTTTTCAAAAGTAGAATTTCGAAAACGTGAAATTGTACAATAAATAAGGGAATTTAAGAAGTTGTGTGTACAAGTATTTGAATCTCTTATGAAAAAACGTGATTGAAATATCTGCAATCCTAATCCCTCGTGTACCTCGTAATAGCTGTTTTAAGAACGTCAAATGGTAAGTAAGAGGAATTCTTTTCTGACATTCCCAATCGAATAAAATTAGAAAATCTGGCTTACCCATGGCTCGATAGATGGAGCAGAAGACTATCGTCATGACTACGAACCACGTATTCCAGTTGTGAGCATTGTTCACCGTAGCGACGCCGAGAAACATGAATATAATGGTCTCCGAACTACTTGACAGCATCTTCATTGTATACTTGACGGTCGTGTGAGACTTGTGCGATATATTGGCCTCAACGTAATTCTTCATCGTGATACCACAGAAGGTTATTCTGGAATAAAGGGATCACGAATTACAGAACAGGCATCGTGGCAATCACTATTTCGATAAAGTTAAGCTTGCAAGCTGAGAATCTTGTTTGTAAACGCGATAATGAAGGTAACTACGGCAGGAATTAAACCGTGTAGTGTTTAGAACTCTATTCGACATTGATCCATCTAATTCCTTCGCGGCAGATTCTTGGCGTTTATTTCAGTTTCCTTATAATTTCTGCTGAGTCGTGCCAATAGGATCAATGCAACAAGTTGTTGTAACTTATTCTTGAAATTGATACCACGAGCGTCGTTCATAAATATTTAATATTCAAGGTTAAACAGTTTCGATAATGTTCGTTATATTATATTGGGTTGTCCGGAAAATTCGTGCCGACTAAAATTTAAATTTTAGTATACATTTATTAAATTAAAATTTTCTGCGTTTCAATTTTCCTTCAACATCGGCACGAATTTTCCGGACAATCCAATAATAGAGGTGATGAGTTATTGGATATTTCAATTTTTTAGTTTTATTTAGCGATTTTTATATATTTGTTGAAACGTATATTATTGAAATGCCTCTTGAGGCTGGAGATGCCAACGCGATATGTCGAAAAGTCGATGATTTACTTACGCCAATATGCCGGACAAGTGGAAGATCTCTGCGCTAAGGTATGCCAAGTACGCCATCACGAAGATGAATATCGGCTCGATCACGCGCACCTGATGTGTAAACCTAGTCACGAAGCCAGTAGCGAAACCCCAAACTACACCTATGACTGTGCCACCGATCGCCACCACCAAAAACGAAGCTAGGCCCGACAGCACGTCCGTGTAAATGATCCTAGAAGGGCCCATCTCGCTGTACGTCTCGAACATGTGATAGAGCACCTGCGTATTCGTATTAAATGGCCTTTTACTTGGTCGTTGCAGTAACCCCTGACACTTTCCTTCGCTCGCCTCACAACAGCACGAAATTAATAAGCGATGGATCGTTAACGGCTCAACTCTTTTCGCATTACCATTCTTAGCTAGCACGACCCAATTTTTACGTCAAAGCAGAACATTTTTTTCGGACGATTAATAAATATACGATATACATAGTGCAGGGATGTTGATCTATTTGCAGAGATATTCAGACTTGCGATGTAACAGATAAAATTGGAACGGAATGCATTTTTGGAAACGTCGCACTTTACGATGTTATATTTTTCTTTACTAAGCTGCAGATAGATTTTTTAAGAGTTAATTGTGCATGATATTAATAACCGTCAAGGCGCCTGGTCGGCGACGTTTATTAAAGTCGTCGCAACGGTGATATATACAAATCACGATTAGATTATATCGTTTTATTTTATTCAAGAGTATTACAGATTGCAGACATACAGGTCGCGTACAAATATGACGTTAATTTTTAATTGAGGCGAAGGTATTTGATACTTGACCCGCGCTTATGGACAATGTGATCAATGTTATATCGATCGTTCGCCCGGCGGAGTGCTTGTCGTTTGGCGGTGTCATGTGCAAGCTTTGCTATATTCTATCTTTTATTTATCAGATATTCTAAAATATGACATGCAAGAGTGAGAGACAGGGTATTAATCTACGTCAACTTCAGGATCAATTCTGAGCGGATGCGAAAAGAGCAAGAGACCGATGACATACATAAAATAATTGCGGTAATAATTACGGTGCATAAAAAGATTGTATACGGTTGGAAAATTTATGTTAAATTTAACGCATGTCTCAAACGGTCCACTAAAATTTTTATATTAATTTAATACAAAATGAATCTGTTAAAACACAAATATTATGTAAAAAATTAGCACCATAACACTAACATAATTTATAAGCAATCATATTTCTTCATTAAAATTACGATAACATTTTCTATAATATATTAAATTAACATGTTTCAATAAATTTAAAATTTATAATATGTTAAATTAACACATTTTGTTTACTTATCTTACATTTTACATTAAAAAAAAAACATTGTTTTTATATTATTTTATTTTATTCACTTATTCATAAATTGTTTTAATTGTTTAACACTAAGAAACGTTGAACATCAATTTAACATAAAATATTCAAATAACACTGTCACATTAAATTAAATTATAACACTCGGGTATATTAAAAATTCAACACAATTTTAATGACTTGAGTGGACTGTTTCTAATGCAAATATAAAATGGTTTTTTACTGCATAGTTATTGTTATCTTTCTTTGGAAATATTGTTGATTATATTCTGATATTTCGCAATCATTAATATAAAATATTATATAGTTGAGAAATTTTTGCTATACGTAAAAAATGTATATCTATGTTTCTGTCTTTATGATTTATTTATTTACTTGTAGAATTTAGTTTTTTAAAAACTTATAATAATCTCATTAAAGATACTTTTATTTTTAATTTCATATTATGATTATAAAAATTTACTCAATGTCTTTATGCACTTAACGATTATTTTTAAAAAAGAAGATATAATTATATATTTTATTTTTCTTCTTATGCTTATCTATCAGATGCGTGCAAATATCTCATATTCGAGTGATTAGGATTGATCGGCTTTAATCTTTATGGCTTTGCTCTATATGTATCGAAGACCTTTAATAGTTCATAACAAAAGGACAGAGATTTCTGCAGCTACCTACGCAACGAACTTCTTGACGTGCAGCATCATGTAATGTAAATAATGTAATACTTACGACAGTGACCGCGTCGTTCAATAAACTCTCTCCGAACACGACGATGTAGAGTATCTCGTTCACATGTATCTCTTCGAAAACGGCCAGCACGGCCACGGGATCGACAGCACTGATCAATGCCGAGAATAGGAACATATCGAGGATAGGCGTCTCACAACCAAACATACCGCTTTTCCCCAACAGCCATAATGAAACACCTAAAGTGCAAATAGCGTTTTAATGATAGTAATGCGCGATCCAATATCTGATATCATATTTTTCGTGATTGTAATTCGCTTTAATTATCACGAATGTCGTTTATTAATCTGCTTTAAATACTTCTGAATAAATCGTCGATTTATCGAGATTATTATTATCCTATCGATTCTCAAAGTCACTGAACGTTGAACCGCGAGAAGTGAGAAAGAGAAAGAAAGAGAAAGAAAGACGTTACCAAAGATAGAAATTTGCATTATCAAATACCAGCGTTTCGCCCACGTGTTATTCGTATCTATCAAGTGCATTCTTCCTCCCTTTCGAAAGAAAGATATTACTCTTGGTATTGAACCCTTTGAAGATCCTTCTCGACAATAATAGAGTGTCAGTTTTTAATCTATTCCGATAGGATATTAATTAACATCATACTTCATAATTTCATGTTATTGATCGTTGTTGTGCTTACCGTGTCGTTTCTTACTTGAAAGTTATGTGTAGTACGGTTCTAGAAAAGCAAAGACCTTTCATTTCGGTCACGAATTTCTTAAGAGATTAATTCAATTAATTGAATTAATCGAATGTCGTTAGATCTAATCACGGTAGTTACGGCAAACGTTCGTTGAAAATAATTAAATTTTAATGTAACGATCCCGCGTCTCATACTCCTATCTTATCTCACATCGTTTTTAAAAGTTTTGCTATTTCATCTTTGCCATTTATTCGCAATATTTGCGTCTCTTGAAGAAATTTAAGTTTGTATATTTTTCTATATATTTTCGTTTGTGTAATTAATTAAAATTGTATTAAATTTCGATATTCAACAAGATTTTAATGAAAATCAAAACTACGAAAATTACAGCCGTATTGTTCTATATTTCTTTTCAAAACGTTATTAAATAAATATTATTGATTATAAACAAAAATTTGATTCAAAATTTGTTGAAATTGAAATAATTTAAAGTGTAACATAGATAGAGAAAAGATCACAAAAGACAGATGCGAAAATTTTAGGAAAGAGACATTATACATTAATAACATTCTATTTATTAAGAGGAATAAGAAAGTACTTTTTACATTTATTTTATATCTCATAAATGCTTACAATGACATTTACGAAACACTTTATAATACTATTTGGCACACACAGTTTTGACATCTTTTACGATAAGAAGTAATAGCCTGAAAATATACTGACAGCTTTTTATGTCGTCATCAATCCTAATCAATAATCGCGTCCGTATTACGCTCGACGTATCTATCTTAACCCATTTCATTATTTTAACGCGATTTTATCAAGCATTAAATAACTTGGACTTCGTCAAATGTTGTTATCGGTTTCGTTCTTTTCTCTTTTTAGTCATAGCGACAATTTCGCGTGAAATTTGTGGTTATCGTGGTGTCACGATCGAATCGCGCGTTATCAATGCGGTGATAGCGGATGATAGCATCGGGATGACAATTGCCACATATGCTTTGCACATCATTGTCGTCGTCATCGTCGTTATCATCGGCGTCGTCGTCATCGTCATCGTTGTCGTCGTCGTCGTCGTGGCTTGCCCCGCGCATCCGCTTCGACACACGCTATTTTTGTTCTCAAGCCGCGCATTTTCTCTACGTTTTCAAGACGAACATCTGCGTTTACGCTAGATCGCGAACAGACCATGAGCAAAAGTGAAGAATGGAAATTCCACCGTCTGCGGGGGATGGTCGGAGTGTTTTATTTATGTATGCTTCTCTTTATATACATGTATAATGTATGCAAACAACTTGTTTAACCTCCTTATTACACTTTCAAAGTTTTAATTAATTTTTTTTTAGAATTTTTTTTATCTACGTGCGTCGGAACAGATTGTTTAGCGGACTGCAAATTAGAGTTGAAATCTATTTTTCTCCTTTGCAGCAATTTATTTGTTGCAAATTTCAAAACTCGTAAGACTAAGATATTATATTATAGTTAAAAATATTACACTGAAAGAAAAGATTGGCTGAATATGGCATAGCATTTTTAATTGATTGCAGCAGTCAATTAAAAATATTATGCCATACTTTTACCGTTTAATTTGCTGCAGCAGCCAATCTTTTCTTTCAGTGTAGTTATAATATTTAAAAAAAATATAAGAAACTATATTTTGACTTGATTAATCAGAATTAAAATTAGAATTTTCAAAATAAATATAGATATATAAGAGCAAATATCGCTACGCGAACATTTAATTCGAAAGTTTGATTCTTCACTAAAGTTTCATTTTTTGATACGATGCCAAACAGACGTTAACAGCTTAATACAGTTGTACCAAGTATATGCGACGAGGGGAAATCTTTTAAACTGTAGGAAGATTTATTTATCTTTTTAAATATAATATTGTCTTAGAAAAATAAGTTTTAATTATTATTGAAAATGTCATAAGTTAATGTTATGATTATATTTAACTTCGTAACATTTTACACTTGAAATCACACTCGGAGGATCTCACAGTGTTGCTTAATCCCGAGGATAGATAAGTATTTCTATATATAATCGGAATCGGTTTGCGTGGGCAAGGCGAAAACGAAGTTCGAATTACGATCGGTGCGCATCGAGGGAAAAGAAATAATATCCGAATCGAAAAATTGTCCTAACGACACCGATCGACCGAGGCAGCGGATGTTGTCGCGTCGTGTTGTCGCCGCTTTACTAACCTATCGACATCGTATTTAATACAGTTCCAACAACAGCGAACAGAAGTATCGTCCCAAGATGGTCGAAGAACAGCCGATTGGGCATGAAGTAGCCAGCATCCAGGATGATGGGCGGCAGCATATACAAGAAAAACGTGTCGGGTGTTAGCGGCGAAATGTGAACGCTGCTCGCCTGGAATAGCAACAGGCCGACGATCACGCCGACAGCGATCAGCAAGCAGGACTCCGGGAAGATCTTGTTGAGCTTCGGCGTCATGTGGAAGCCTGGACGCCAATCGTTATGTTAAATATGTCATTAATCGTTAGTTCAGGAGACCCATAACAAAGTCTGCTCACGAGCGACTTTATCAAAACCCTATTAGAGAGAAAGGTATATTTCTTCCTTTACTTTAATTAATCCTTTGTTTCCACACTTTTTTTTGCTACTTATTTCGCCACACTAGATTTATAAGACTCACAATCAGTATAAATTTTTCTGTGATATTTAAATATTAGGGATGTATTAGGAATCGTAAAGTTACCGGACATCGGATATCGGACATCCGGATAGATAGCCGGATATTCGATCGGATATCCGAGAAGGCAATTTCTTCGAGTCGGATGTCCGACCGAATTTCGAGAAATCTTCTAAGAAGAAAAAAAGGCCTATAGAGAAAAAGATTGTAATTTTGCAACAATGTATAAGATATTATAATATCATGAGTATGCATACTTATTTCTAGAATATTTGTGTAAAAAAAAATCAACAATTTAATAATATCAAATTTCTACCGGATAGCTTTCCGGATAATAGTAATATCCGACTATCCGGTCGAATAGTAAAAAAGTACTGGATAATACCGGATACTTTCCGATGCATCCCTACTAAATATCAATAAGAGCTTATAGTTAGTGTACAAATATTATAGGTTTAAATATTGTATAAAAGATAGCTATGTGTTTCGTAGGTATTTAAATCAATTGTAGATGCCAACATTTCGTGAACATTGTAGTTCACTTCATCAAGGCAAAGAGCAGCTTGATAGGATAGTATCAGGTTGCCCCTTGCACTGATGAAGTGAACTGCAATATTCACGAAACGTTGGCATTCCAACAATGGACCTAGATACGGAGATAATCCGTTAAACGCATAGCTCATTTATAGGAAGTAACCATGAGAGCCTCAAAATTAACAAAAGATAATCATATCAATATCAATATCTTCATTTCATAATCATATCATCATCATGTATATTTGCCTTTATCATTATTTATAAATTAGATTTTTATATTATAAAAAGATAGTGTTTGTAAAAATGCACGCGTATAAATTTTTCGCTTGGATCAATTTAACCTATGTCTACAAATTAAATATACAAGGAGAAAGTATACGTATGTACGATTTCTAGTAAGATTTTGACAAAATTGCTTGTGGTCAGATTCTGTTATAAGGTCTCTAAGTAGGTCGCTCTAATCTTTACAATTCTAATTCGGAATTCAGATCCCGATCAACCGCAGAGAAACGTGAGAATAATCCGCAGTCTGCAGCGTCGGAATCATCGAAATTACAATCGGTCTCAATCGGAAAATTAACCGTGACAGAACACGTGGCATTCTGCAGCAGCGAAGATTCCAACGGAGTGCAACGGCAGTTGCAACGTGTCGCATGCGCTACGCATTTCTTCACGCCCGACACGTGGTATCTCCCGCTCGTGGAGGGTTCTGTTAACGCGTGTCGTGCTGTATCGCGTACAATGTATCCGTGAACGTGTTCAATATTCTATGCATCTTGTTCGATATTTTCCGTGGAATCTTCGCCTCGCTCATGGATCTTAATGCGATGAATGAGCTGCTAAATACGTAACGGAATAAGTTTACTCTGACTAGATATTTTCAAATTCAAAACAAATTTATGTTGAGGGATAAGAAGAATATATAGGATGTAAAGATAAATGCAATAATAGCAATCTATTTTTAAAAAGTAGTACACTGGAACGTGTACTTCGTAATAGCGAATCTCGAAATAACAAAATCTCTTCCATGTTTAGTGGTGTGAGTGGAGTAGCGGTAAAACCGCGTCTCCAATACAACCCTGAATTTTATGATTTACAAGAAAATCTCACGAATTCAGATCTTAATAAAACTTTGTATACTTATAGCTTACATAAATAAATGAATTTAAAAAGTATCATTAGCGGTAAATGCTTTTAAGAGATGAAATCACCCTTTATATGTAGGTTTAACTTCTTTCGTCTTTATATCTCAAAAATTGTTGGATAGAAAAAAATTATAATACAAAAATTTTATAATAAAATTATCTTTATTTACGTCAATAATATTTTTTAAAAATAACTTTTTAAATATGAATTTTGCAAAAATTATTTCTTAAAAATATTGGTATAAAAATTTCATTTATAAATATTATTATTGAGTTCGTGCCGACTAACCTATATAATTTAATAAATGTATACTAAAATTTAAATCTTCTGCGTTTAAATTTTCCTTCAACATCGACACGAATTTTCCGGACAATCCGATAGTATAAAAGTTTCATCAAAATCAGAATTTGATACTTCGCGAGGTTCTTTTGTTAAAAGTGAAATGAAAACGACTTCATTATTATATTCATCATGTGTTATTACGAGATTCGTAGTAGTGTAATATTTTGAAATACAATATTTGACAGGATTATTCTCTATTGAAAGCAGGACAATCTTGTCAAGTATTTGATCTGATCGCATTATATACAAGTTACAGTGGAAGTTATCAATGGAAACTCACAACAGTAATTTAAAAAAATCTGCTATTTTATTTATCTATTCCGATAAAACATTCTTTTTGTCAAACGTAAATTTTTATGCCCCGCCAAGATATTTGCGCAACTGACGTATGTGAATTTTATGTAGGCAGGTGTATTTTATTCTTGCCCGTTCGTTCACTTTCGTGACTTTTACCACCGCTCTGTCAGGTGAACAGAAATATCAGCGGCACAGTTTGTTTCTTCAACCACCACGTCTCGCCGCGTGCTTGCGTATCCACGCGTGCGTGTAACGCGAGTGAAATTGCACGGAGAGAGAAAAATTGCGCGTCCATCGAGTTTCGTATTGCTCGAACGGGTATCCAGTAAATGGAATGCTAACGTTCGAGTTTATTCGGCGCTTATCGTGCGCCGCGCACACAAAAATGAATCTATGTGCATCGTGAAATATTATATCGTAAGATACTACACTCTTGAGTCTTTGAGTACTGGAGCATCTTTATGGATCTTGAAATGCAAAATCGTGGCTTTTCTGCCGCGCGAGCAATTTTTCGAGCTTGCAAACGAATGTGTTATATAAAATATCGAATAAAAATTCGTATCTTAAATTACTTGTTTTCCATTCCTTTAATTTACATCTAATAAATAATAAGTCATAGAGAGAAAGAGAGAGAGAGAGAGAGAGAGAGAGAGAGAGAGAGAGAGGGAGAGAGAGAGAGAGAGAGAGAGAGGGAGAGGGAGAGATTGTTAAGACACGAATTTTTACCCGATATTTTCAGTACAATAACAACTTTTTTGGTTCGCATTCGCCCATGTATTATTTATTCGCGAGAATTATTAAAAACAAATAACGAGAAAAGGTAATGAGCCTTGCATAGCATAACGAGTGTTGCCGGCTTTCAATGACATTTGCCAGGTTTTGTTACGTAAGCAAATGGAAAACTATAGGTGCGCTAATGTATTCATCGAAAAGCGTCTGCTATCATGAAAATTGATGCAGCCTGATGTGCACAAGCGAATAACAAAATTGCGACAGATGTTTTTGGTTAACAATAGAGGCAAAGAGAGTGTGTTCGTAATATGACAATTTTCAAATAACATGTTGTCTATCGTAATATTTGAAATGATCATATTACGTACATTGTATTGTTTAACTGTTTCCAATTTTGTCGAGCATGTTATTACAAGTTAAAACGGTTAATTATACGTATAATGGATATGGCATAAAAGATATTTTCAGAAAAAATATTTTCAGAATATTTTGTCTCTTAAAAACCTTTATATTCTTCTCTCTTCATTAAGAAACAAAGCTCAAATTAAATTTATAACAACAAGTAACACTTATATGTATATGACTTGAATTTTTTTTGTATTTTTAGATATAAGTCTTATAAAGGATGACTCTTAAGTACATTGGCAAATACTCATTTGTTGCAAGTATCTCGAAAGAAGATAGAGTCACGAGATATTTGTTTTCTTGGACGAATATCGGATCATTCAAGAGTATACTTGATTTATCGCCAATATTTATGTTGCATGTGTCATATCTATCTGTCATTTTTCTATAATAAATTCATTCTTAAACATTGCAAAAAGATTGTTGTTTACATTAAACGATACTTCAGAAAAGCCGAGATCTCACGCCTACACGTATCCTGTCTCGAAGACAACAACAGGAAGAGGAAAGAAAAAAAAAAAGAATAAATTAAGATCAACTTTCTCAGCACTTACCGATTTTCGCGATGCTGGCGAAGAAGATCCAAATCCCGATAAGAAAGGGCGTTTCGACGCGCGTGAACTCTACGCTGACGATGCGATATTCCGGTTTCGGCGAATGTTCGTTGCCACTCGAGGAGTCGCCGACTGCGATGTCGTCGCCAGAGCGCGCCGAGGCGAGCTGCGATTCCTTAGGGATATTCCGTTGTCCGGCATCGTCGTTGCTGGCCGACGAGAGGCTGCGCAAGGTATCATCGTTCGGCAAGGCCGAGCGGATCACCGGGCCCATGGGCCCGAAGCCTAGGCCCGGATAAGCGCCGTATGGATCGCCGTGGAAGTCACCGGCGTCGATCTGTGGTCCGTGCGATGCGGGATGCTTCTCGGCCGGGATCCGTTCCGCGGATCCCAGGTCGTGGAAAGGCGCGAAATTGGCGCGGCCGCATCCCGGATAACAGAGAACCACGAGGAGGAGCGCAGGGATGATCATCGGGGCGAGGCGATCCATGGCGCACCACCCGACGTGACGCGACGACGACGACGACGACGACGATGCTTCTGCCGTGGACGATCCACGCTGTCGTCCGCGTTCGTCCGTCGCCGGTGAGTCACTACTTTTATTCGTTGTACCATCAGAAGAGAACCGCCACGACGACGAGCACGTTCGCACGTGCTGAGAAGCTCCCCGCGATTGAGACTCCCCTGATCTCTTTGTAGCAGCAATAGGGGCGGTTTATTCGATGACGTCCTACCCTCCGAGTGCAATCAGACACCGTCAAGTCTCTATAACGTTATCGTCCCACGGATCACGTACTACAGCATACACCGATCTACGATGATTGAGCGATTTCGAAAGCCTTCTTCTGTCAGGAAAATTCCTCTCTTGCACATTCCCCTCCCTGTTTATTCCCGAACTGTTTATTTTCTCAGTGATAATTATCTAATTCTCTTCTTACGGTTTCGCGTATCTGAATTTCGCTAAAGCAGCTTCGATGTTCATCTTTGTAATGACATCGTACAAATGTAACATTCTCGAGGAAAACAAAGGCAAATTGTTTCAATGTGGACATCAACCGGCTCGGCGTGAGAACTGGATGGACCCAGTTCCAAGTCCGGAATAATCCGGCTACTATGATCCGAAATGAGGGATAACAAGTGTCGCGGTAATAAATCGCTAAAACGTCAAACCAATAATTAAACGTGACTCATACCGCTTTGGCGTCGAGACGTGGCGCGCTACAATGACAGCTGCTGCTGGAAGCCCATGTCCCTCGCATGAAGTATCGAGAGATGCTGCCGGAATATCTTTCTGTTAGGAATGCTCGCTGTATTCGCCCTTCGTACGGGGACCGAATGAAAACACAGCTACGATCGTATCCCAGGATAGGAGTCGCGGACAGCCACTTTCCGATTCGGAGTAGGGAATTGGATTGCTCTCTCTCTTTCTCTCTCTTTCTCTCTCTTTCTCTCTCTCTCTTTCTCTCTCTCACACCTGTCTGTGGCTCAGCCCATGCAAATAGAAAACCTATGCAACTGCACAGGGGAATGACTTCCGGTTTCGTGTGAATTGGCTTTACTGATCGCACGACGCGTCCCTTAACGCGGCGACGACGGGGACATTGAGTGCGTTGCTCGTCGCACGACGCTGCTCGTCTTGCGCGCCGCTCGCGAATACCGCGACGCTCTCAAGTCTTTATAGAGTCACCCGGCGGTGAACGCGAGGTCTGATCGACGCGCGGCTGCGGCGATCCGTGGACGATGACGTGGTGGAGGGACAGGAAGCGCGACGATGATAACGGGCGCGCCGCATTATAAATACGGGCGGACGACTCATCGAAGTGGACGTACGTCGCACCTTCGCCGGCGTGCCTCTATCGACCGACCGACGGCGACGGCGACGGCGACGACGACGGAACGACCGATACGGCAGCACTGCACGGCCGCGTACTGACGCGCACTACCGTCGTCGTCGTCGACGATGGTGGCGGCGACGGTGACGACGCCGATAACGCTAAGCAACGGGGAACGCTGCCAAAAACGTGCGTAGGCGTCGTCGGCACTGCCCTCGTCGTCAGCGACGATAATGGATGTATGTTAGATCTACTGTTCCTTTTTCTTTCCTTCATCTATCTCCGTCATCCCTCTACGTAAGTCTCGCTTCCCACCACGACGGAAGCTTCCAGCCAGCTGATCGTCGATGAAACCCGCGCAGGCGTCGCGACGTCCCCGATATAACCTACCCTCGGTTGGCAGCGGCGTCGAGCGGCACATCATTGCACACATTTCGTTTTACGCCGATGCACCGTTCTTGCGGAAGTTCTCCCGCTAGAAATACTCCCGCTCGACATTATTACGCGGCTCGTTTGCGGTCGAGCTTTGTCGAGCGGATATCTGCTGCTCCGAAGGTTCTCAGCGTATCGTTGTTCTCGTGCATCGTTCAATTCTCGCCCCAACATCCTCGTGGGAGGGTAGCTTACGAATAGCCGTTTTGCCGGTGATGGGTCTCTCTACACGAACGAGCACTTGCGGCTTCCGTTCCATTTTTACAGAGCAACGCGGGCGCCGCGATACCGGCATTACCGGCATCACCGGCGTCTCGACGTCTCGGCGACAGCTACGCGAAGCTCTCACTGACGCCGATCTTAAATCGGAGGGACGCGTCAATCACGGAGTTTCGTTCGCGGAGTCTCGGTTGTCTCGGAGAGGCCTTGACCTTGTTCGACGGATGGATACGCCGGCATCGCTCGATGCCGGGCGGATTCGCCGGATTTCGGTGTATGCGCGAGAGATCGTTCGGCGTCGTTACGGCGCGACGGTGACGATGACATGTGTATCAATTGTCGCTGGGAATTATCCAGAATTATATTATCGCAGCGACGCGAATTTGAGATGCAGAGACAGTGGAAATACCATTTTTCCTCCTCTGTCATTATCACCGACGCCGACACAGCGAATTTCTAATCGGGTCGCGCTTTTTGCCGCAACGCGCGACGGTAGGCAATACATTCGTGCGACGTGCGCGGCGGGAAATGCGGTTAGATAAGGATTTATTGCGGCCTACTTGCATAATAAAAAATTATCGGGACGTAGCTTCTGCCTGACAAATGATTCTCACAAGGCCGGTTTTGCTGTTTGTGGAACGATAGAGAGGCGTACGATCGCCCTTCGCCTAACCCTCGCTACTTTAATTCTCACGCTTATCTTCTACTCCATACGTACCTCTCAACAATCGCCCCTTTATCAAGATCCATTCTAGCGACTCTACGGAAGTCCCTTAGTGCCGTATATTGTCGCGTGGTGACTGCAAATCCATCCGGACGTAAAAATCGTTGGCCTGATCGCTGCATTTACAAATGCCGGTGCATACCTACACGTATTTAAAGAGAAAACTCACGCATGCAGTTCAAAGCATTCCAGCAATGTTGCAGCAATGTTGTAATAGTTGCAGCAATGTTGTAATAGTCGTACATTCCGCGTTCAACAGAATGTTTCTTTTTGTAACTGTTGCACAGAAAGAATGATTTTGCCACAATCTCTATAAATTTAACTAGATACAAATCCCAAAATGGCTAAAAATGGCTCGCAATTTAAAAAAGGTTGTATATTACTGACATATACAAGAGAATTTTTGGAGATTTGAGAATTTTGTTCTATGTCCAATCAACACATTTGAAAAAAATTGTTGTATGGTACATGAAATATCCTAGAAATATTCTGTGCTGCATGGGGAGATGGCTCGTCTTTTCTTCCGTAGCGATGAACGATTAATTAATCTACCTGTCTATCCAGTTAATCTACCTCTCCAAGTCGTATGCGATCCGATCTGATCGGTGCATCATCGCATGTCGACAAATCTGCTATTTCGTTGGATCAATAAAAGGATTCACATTCGACCAGAAAGCTGGAATCAAAACAGCTGTTATTTGTATACGCTAACATATGGGGGATTGCTTGTTTGTGCAATGATAAGGTACGATTAGCAGCGAAATGATAAGAAATGATCTTCTTTACGTGGAATTTCGTGTGCGATAGGTAGTTCGCAGTGCACATACAATAGTTTGATTTAGGACATCGCATTATCGCGTTACCCAATGGGGCAATTACAGTGAAACGATAAAAATGATGTAAATCGCTTAAAAGAAAATATTACTCCATTTGACTGAATATCTCTCCATTCTGACGCTCGTCGCTTACCACCATTGATAAATTAAAAATTTAAGACAAATTAGGTCGATTTCTCCTTTATAAATATTTCATGCCATTTCACGAGCGAGACCATTATCTCTCATAAATTTCTTTATATTCACTTGGCGCGTTAACTATATAAACAAGATTTTATATTTTATTTCATTTGTCAAAACGTCATAAATGTTCCATGTACACTTCTGCGATTTGACCTCTTCATCAAATTTTCATTGTAAAGAAATCATTCTCATGTCCATCGCGGAATTTATTATTAATAAAAGCAGAAACAAAATAACGGGTCAAAGAAGATAACGTTTTATTATTCGGTTTTCTTTCTGTTTTTCTGTCTCGCCATCTATCCATCTTGTCCCTCGTTGATTTACCGTTCATGTTCTAGCGGTTATCGATTTTTCGTTACGCCACGCGCAACCTTGGATTGTCGCGTTTTTCGACTTCGTACCGAGAGCATATAATCGCGACATTATTTTCGCGTCGTAGAAAAAAAAACAAGCGCTCTCCCCTTCTCTCACAAGTACACAAAGGAGAAACGATATGAAGCAAAAAGTGTACGGCCGGACGGACAACAAGGTGAAGCTTGACAGACCGCGATCGTTCGCAATTAATCTGTGATTCTCGCGTATATCGTATACCGAATCAATTCGTCTGTATTTTGGCAATTATACCGAGCCCGTAATTTCATCGTCATTAATATTTCTGACAAGCGCCGGTCGAATGGTGTTCTAATGAAGGAGGTAGCATTGATCCAAGTCACATCGGTCGGCCAGACGCAGCCCGGATTCCGAATTCACCCTCGCGCCGTCGCGCGTCGCACGCTGCGTGACGATTGTACGCGGCATTACAGCGGCTTATCCTGAAATTAGCTTGCTGGATATCGTTCCCGAACCTGGGCGGCGTTATAACCGCCCCGTCCGGATAGAGCCGAGCAGCATGAGACAAGTAAGGCAAGGGTTGTTCGCAAACAACCCTGCCGGGAATGGCTGCTTGTTGCACCGGGGCACGCAATCGTATAACATATGACATTCCCCGTGCTCCATAATTTAAAAGGCATTCTGGAACTACATCGACAAGCATCTCGGCATATGGCCGAGAAATATGAACGCTGTGGATTTTTAATCCGCCTGGGTACATATATTAACGATTGTATCTCTCGATGATCGCGATTAGAAACTCGAATATCATTTAAGCTGAAATAGATAGTTGCGAGAATAGTATCGGTATATTTCTGGCGAAAATACAAATTGAAGTGTAAGCCGAATGTGGGGAGAAAGTAAGAAACGTAAAATGAAGCTTCTAGAAGGTGAGACAATAATACGTAAAAGAAACGTTTATGCTTCTTTTATTTTTCGTTGTCTCAATTTTCGCCTCCTAGAAGCTTCGCTTATGCTTCTTATTTTTCCCTTACATTTGACTTTCCCCTCCAACTTTTATTTTCGCCAGGAATCGCGCAAATGAAATAACAATAGACATATATCCACGTAATCGGCAACAATCCCTCTTGCGTATAAGCTACGTCTCAGTTATATAATATGAGCATAACTGTTACGTGTACTTTTCATACACGTGACATACTTGGAGTACTAAAAAACGAAAACTTTAAGCGGGTAGGTGAGATGGCCACAGAACCTCAGGCATAGTTTTCTTTAAAATCTTGTTGGAAAAATAAAATAAAAAGTATCGACTAAAAGTTTTAAAATTCATTATTTTTATACTTCTCTATCTTATAAAGGTGTAACTAATGTAAAAATTTAACTATAACGTGATATACTAGTAAACAGTGTATCTATAAAATTAAAATTTATTATTGAATATGTATTTAAGCAACCCACTGACTACTGACTTACTTAAGTACTTTTAAATCATCTACTTAAATTTTTTAAAGATTAAAGAATGACATGCATCTGTAATATTGGCGATTGTATATCCTTATCGGTGATTTTTCATTCCAAGGCTCAAAAATAGTTTATTAAATATGTATTTCTAATTCTGCAACGAAATACAGAATGTAAAGATAAATATAAAACTTGCAGTAAGGTCAGAGATACAAAGTTGTCAGATCTGCTATATTTATTACATTTTTGAATTGTATCGAATCCAACGGAGGAGGGGAGGGAATGTAACAGCGATGACTTTTCCACCATATATTTCCGCTGCCTATATTTCTATTCTCGAAAAAGATTCTGGATTTAATAAAATCGCAAAAGTACGTCAAATCGAAATTTTGCTTGTCTTATTTCTCGTCTCTATTACCGGCGAGATTGGAGAGGGTTGGCTTATATCCCCTGGCGAACAACATAGCGCGGATATGCTGCTACGTTATTTAGAAGGTATACCGCGCACGACGATGCTCGTACATCGCTCGATGATTTGAAAGAGGTATAACGACGTTCGCTCGGCTCGGTCAGCGCTGCGTTAACGCCAAGGGGGCTGTTCCATCGCCCCTCGTCTGCTTTCCGTTCCCCAGCGTGGAAAGTAGTGAACGAGGGTGCGCGAAGAGATTCCACGAGGGTGGCATTGAAGCCATGACGAGGGAAAAGTGGTGAGAGGAGAGCGGAGAGCGTTGAAAGTAACGATACTTGCACGAATTCTCGCGTTCTCGATATTGACGACGTCGAGGCGACGAAGCATTGCCGAAATTTTCGTATGTCGTTGGTTGGCGACGTTGGAAAAATATCGACGAGCCGTCTACTCATTGTATATTAATGAGTCTATCTCAGATATTGACGTTATTTATACAATTTTCAAAGCTTTGCGCTGAGATGGAGATAGATAAGACAGTCAGACACTAGCGGATACTTTTATTTATTTAGACACGGTAAAAAGTGTAAGTTCGTTTATTCATTCAATCGCAATTCCTGTCTTTCATTGGGATTAATGAATATTACGCAAGTCATGGCAGCAGCCGTTCTGGTCACGTATATTCGTTAGAATTTATTAAGACGCCGTTAATTATAAGAGATATTATTAATAAAAAGTTTACTTTTTTTGTTATATAATATTCATAAAACGTACAAAACGCGCTATATCGAATTACAATTATCAATTACATAATCGGCAATGTAATTTTTTTTCTTTCGTTTCTTTTTTTCGTCAGAAAACTGATGATGTCAATTGATATCTGAAATCCATGAGCGTATCAAAAATCTTTTTTCAAAGAAGAAGAGAGTGTCAATTTTATTATTTTATATCTAGACAGATATTTTATATCTAGACAGAATAGAATATTAAAAAATTCATTAATAAAAAATTGTTGTTTAGGTGTGAAATAAAAAAATTGACTCCCTTTTTAAATATTTTATAATGTCTCATTCTCGTTCCTGCACGGAGAGAATTTTCTTTTAAAATTTATCCTGAAAATATAGTTCTGGTACAATACAATATTTTAAAGATTTTTACTATGCACTTCAGTAAAGTTAATCAAACTTATTTTATATTTTATTGTAGTTTTATTAATGAATGAGAGAGATTTACATCTAAATTCTCCGAAATATAATGTTATCCCACGAATAATGACATTTTCAGGATAAACTCTAAGAAAAAATTCTCTCCGTATGATTTTGAATAGGAAAATTATTAGATTTTATAAATCATAACTTATACTTTTTTTTCCTAGAAAGAAAATATAGGTAAAACTAAACGATGTATAGTTATTAAAAGCAAAATGTGTAATTGTAAATAAAGTACTCAATATTTTAGCGCATATTCGGATATTGTCCATTAATTAACATTAATTAATTAAAAATTACATAGTCATACAACAAGAAGAAAAAAGAATTTTAATAATATTGTAATAACAACAAAAAATTCAGCGTTAAAAGTATAGTTGTATTTTTTATAATTAAAAATGAAAAAATAAATAAAACATTTCAGGAGTTTGAATCCTTCAAATTCCCTTCTGGATACGTCCATATCGAAATCACTAGTATGACGAATGGAAAAACCAGCATAGATTGATTTTATGATGAATTGATCGACATAGTTCGCGCGACTCCGCGAACGGTAACTCCGCGAAAACCCAAATGGATCATAATTAAGATGTTAAACAGATGCCAAGCGCCGATGGGTATATTAATTAGCTGCTATTCATTCGCGCGATCGTGCACCCATGAATCCGAAATGAGATCGTTCTGCCGTTAATTTTCCTTACCCCGTTATTCATTTCTATCTCCGAGAACATCATGGGTGCGGAATGAAAGGAGAAATTGGTCTTGCAGAGCTCGCGAACTTTTCCTCGCGATTAGCCGTCGTCTTCTCTTTTCCCGATGAGGTTTCTTTTACGTTCGTCGTCCACAGTCAGGTGCATTTTAGCGAGGCCCGCCGCGCACACCGCGCTGAAACACACCATCCATCTTCCTGCGTCTCACCAGAGACCTTTCAGGTTTATTGCGGCGTAAACAAGACCTCGCGAAAGGATCGTTTGCTCACCGCACGCCGTCAAAGGTACAACGTAACCATACTATTTTCGCTTGCTCGCGTCGACGGGATTTACTTACGACGGAACGTTTATCGCGCGGAAATTTACAGTTTGACGTATCACAGGTAATTCGATCAGGTGGCGAGGCATGAGTATGTAATTAGTTTATTCGGAAACGGATACGATATGTGAAATGTCCGATATGAATTTAAATTCCGCGACGTAAATGTGTCGCGTGGACCCGCGATAGCGACACAAGTATTCATTCGGCGACGCTATTTAATGGACATGTGCAGGTATGTTATAGTATAGACGCAATGATGATTAAAGTTATTTATATTCCCGGCGAGGAGTCGGAATATAAATTGGGACGTGGCGAATGACGAGGATTTACAGTCGAGTTTATTTTGCGGAGAACGTGCGAATGATGGGTGCGATAAGGCCGATGAAAGGTCACTGAACCGAGAGGCGGCGAAAAGTTTTGAAGATTATTTCGAATTAGTTTTAATTCGCCATAATTGGTCGCGGACTGAAAGCGGCCGGAGGAGAAGGGTCGAAAATTCGTTTTAATTAAAATTGATAATCCTGGGAGAGAATGGATATTACGTAAGTCGTCGGCTAGCTGCATTGGGAATCGAACAAGTTCCCCTTCGGAAGTTATTTGGGATTGCGAGTTACGTTTAGCTCCGCCGGAATTGTGCCTTCTAATGGCGACGTCATGCAATCGGCGCACAGACACACTTCTCGGACCACGCCGACGCACTTACGCAAGCACAATTGTGTTGTTACGATACGCCCCTGTTCATTCTACTTTCTTGTATTACGTCGGAGTTGGCGACAGCGATAAATAATCGTGGATATCCGTATCCCCTTGTACATGATACTCTTCATATAAGTTATGTCCACACATATTTCTGGAGGATAAAAGCTGAACAATATCTATGCCGTAGACAACTCTCGTTCATTGTGTCACAGTGTTACGTTAACTGTTGTACGAGAAATAGTAACAGGAATAGTAACAGGAAGACAATACTGTTAGGCAAATGGATGAACAAACTCCAGATTAATTCGGAATTCTTTAAACTTTCATTTTTATTTATTTCTTAAAATAAACTAAATGCAGATATATAAATTTACAAAGACATGTATGATAAGTATAAATCTATACAAGAGTGATCAATATGAATACTTATAAGAGATGTATAAAAAGTAATCTAATTATACACTATTAAATATTAAATAATGATATAAAACAATTAATTGTCAAAGTAATAGCGATTCGTTGTAATTTATTTGTCAAGACAAAACTGGTAGAAGA